CTGAGCCTGGAGGAGACTCGGGGAGACCACATTTTTGACAACTCCCTGACTGGAGGCTGGAGCCAGGTGGGGGTCGGTCTCTCAAAGAACAAGAAACAAGACAAGAGGAAATGGCCTCAAATTGCAGCAGGGGAGCTCTAGGTTGGATATGAGGAAAAATTTCTCCCCCAAAAGGGTTGTGAAGGCCTGGCAGAGGCTGCCCAGGGCAGTGGTGGTGTCCCCATCCTATGGCACTTGGGGACATAGTTTATTGGTGGACTTGGCAGTGTTGGATTAACGGTTGGGCTTAACGATCTCAAAGGTCTTTTGCCAACCTAAATGATTCCATGATTGCATATAGCCAGGTAGTGTGGCCCTTGGGCTGGCCCAGCACAGCCCTTCTCATGTTCCTACAGCAAAAATGACCAATATTTTTATTTCAAGGAGAGAAGGGTTTAAACAAAGCTGACTTCAATGAAGAGGGACTGCTCATGACTCCAAGAAGAGCTGAGCAGGACACCTAAGACTCGCATTAAAAGCCTCAGCAGCCAATTATCCTTTGCAGACATAAGAGGGGAAGCTTCAAAGGAGGTAAATATAACTGCATAGAAGTTCTTCAGCATCCCACTGGCCAAAAAAGACCACAAAGAAAGGAAAAACACAAAGAACGTGAGCAGAATGACACGATCGCCAAATGGCAAAGGCAAAATCAGAAAGCTAAGGTAGGAAATTAAAGACTACATATGGCAGACTAAGAAGGGCTGCAAAAGGCTCTGCATTTGCTTAACTGCCTTAAAAAGAGGAAGGAAGTTTGGCCCACTGCTTCACCAAGAGAAAGTCATTAACTGATGAGGTGGAGAAAGCTGGGACGTTCCTACTGCTGCTTTTTGCATCCTCTATTACCCCCAAGGTTAGTGGGGGTCAGATGTGGGATAGTGTTTTTGAACAAACCAGGAAAGAAGCCATGAAGTAGTCTTGGAGCAGTTACATGAGTGATCAAGAAGTGAATAAATGCAGCCAGGGCTGCTTCAGGAACTAGCTGAGACAATCTCTTGAGATCTCAGAGGCTTTTGCAAGTGCAGGCAGGAACAGTGGGGCCAGCAACTCTGTCCATGGGCTATTTTTAAAAAGATGAAGCGGCTATGGCCAGATCTGGGCCTCCAAATTTCAGTTCTCTGAAAGATGCTATCACAAGAGGTTAAGCAAGTGTGAGGAAAAAGCCATAAAACCCATGATGCCCTCCTTGCCCCAAACACATAAGTGCCACCTCCATAGGGACAGAGGTCCCCATGGTCCCCATGTGCGCTCAAGATGTCTGTGAAGGGGTTCCACACCAGGAGCATGGAGAGTGTCCTTGCTGCCCTGCAAAGCTCTGCTCACCACACAGAGGAAGCCTAACTCAGGTGGAGAAACAGAAGTGCTGCTTCTCCCAGTTTGTTTTGTTTTTTTTTTTCTTTAGGGCAGAACTGTAGCAGCCAGGACCTGGGGAGTGCATGGCCACCCAAACTGTAGAAGAGGAGTGCTGGGGGGTCCAGACAGGGAGGTCTCTGCAGCTCCCTGGCTGCCTGATGTGGTCCTCAAGCTTCACAATTGGCTGGAATTGGGAAATAACCTCTCCAGAGCAAAATAGGCGGATTTGCACCCATAGCCCTGCACCAGGGCCCCTCCTGGTCCCCTGTAACTCCTGCTTGTGACACAGTTGCACTCAGGATCTGCATTCATCACCTTGGGTGGCTTCTGCACTCCTACAGCTGGAAAAACTCACACCTCTCTTTTCTGACGCACAAATGGGAACAGAGGGAAGGTGAGGGAATTCCTGTGCCAACAGTCCTGGACCAAATCCCATGCCCTTGGCCCCTCATGTCTAGAAGCTGCAGACCCATGTCCTGTCCTGGATCCCCCAGCTGCTCCAGCCCCTGGCTTGGAGGAGGAACAACAGGTGAGGATGAATCCTAGAATCATTTAAGGTTGGAAAAGACCTCCAAGATCATCAAGTCCAACTGTCAACCCAACACTACTGTGACCAGTAAACCATGTCCCCAAGTGCCATGTCCACACATTTTTTGAAGCCCTCCAGGGATGGGGACTCCAGCACCTCCCTGGGCAGCCTAGGCCAATGCCTCACGTCTCTGCCAGGAAAGAAATTCTTCCTCATACACAGTTGAAACCTCCCCTGGCACAACTTAAGCCTATTTCCTCTTGTTCTATCACTAATAGGAGCCAGTAAGGGAAGAAGGATGTGACTTACAGCCACCAGGAAGGGGACGAGTAGATGCTTGCCTTTGCAGTGGCCAGCCCTTCCACACCCCATTGGCCCACAGGACTACAGAACACTCCCTGAGGCAGCACTGCAGAGGAGACGCTTTCAGAGGGCAACGGATAAGGGGGTGACTTCAGCTACCTGGACCAAAAAGTTCAGAGGAACACGGGAAAAGGTCAGCTACTGAGAGAAAAATCAGAGAAACTTCACTGAAAATGAACGCACAGTGACTGAACTCTGCTGCAGGGCATGTTCAAGTGCCCTCCAAGACCCCTGCATTGCTCTGTCACCAGGCTGGCTCAACAGGACATCAGGACCTCAACCACACCTGCTGAGCTCAGTTAATTCCCCTTCAGTTTGTTCTTTTAGCCCTCTCTCCAGCATCCCAGCTGCAAGAGAGGAAGGTTCTGAGCTCTTCAAACTTGGATCCAGAGATAGGACCCCTGGGAATGGTACAAAGCTGCACCAGGGGAGTATTAAACTGAACACAAGGAAGTGTCTCTCTGTCTAGTGGGTGGTCCAGTCCTGTGACAGGCTTCCTTGGGTTGATGCCCCAAGCCTGTCAGTGTTTAAGAGGCATCTGGACAATGCTCTGAATACCTTATTATCTTAATGCCCTTTAACCTTTGGTCAGCCCTGAAGTGGTCAGGCAGGAGTTCCCTTCTAACTGAAATCTCTTCTAGGCACAGCCTCAGCTTGCTTACCTGCTCGGGACAAGGGTGGTGAAGAGTGGGTGGCCAGATGTGAGGTCTAGGGGTGGAAGGAGGAGGGCAGGGTAGGCAGGATGGCTGGAGGCTGGAACAGCCAAGGGAAGGGGGCTAGAAGGATAAATACTCTTCCAAAGTAGCCCGAGAGGCATACTTTCCACCCAGCTGAAGCTCCACTGACAAACCACCCTTTGAGGGTCTCTGGCCAAGTAAAAGTGAGCAGCACTATTTAAAGGAAACAAGATTATACAGCCTCAACCATCAGCTGAACTCAGCAGTACCTGAAAGTGCTTCTGTTTGTTTAAATTCCACTTGAGTCAATCACTGTAAAACAAAAGCTTCTGCTGCCTGCTCTCTCTCTGTTTACTCCTAAAAGGAAAGCAGAATTCCGGTTAAGGGCTGCCTTTCTCAGGAACCTTTCACAAGGAATCATGCAGAGATCTGCTCTTCTGCTGCCAGTGAGGCTGAAAAAAGGCAGGTAAACCCCAAAAGCTGTGCAGACCTTTTACCCCTTTCTTTAGATCACAAGATGGAAGCACCATCAGGTCTGTTGGACAGGAAGTTTATCACAAGGTTCGCTTCTCCTGGGGAGCTGTTCTCCTGATGACAAAGGCAGGGACTGGGAAAGCCTCTGAGAAAACGAAAGGGCAATTGCTCCTCTACACACAGGCTCTTGGAGGTCTCCGTTGCCGTCGGCCCCGCACCCTCCCCTCTGGGTCCCAGCTAAGTACTGAGTACTACATGTATCACACAGGGCCCTCTGCACACCTCGAGGACTCCTCCCTTCTCTCCCTGCAAGCCTTTCTCCTCACTCAGCCAGGAAAGCAGCCTCCTGTAATCTACACCAAACAAAAAGGTTAAACTAGGCAGCACGATGGCATCACGTATTTGAGTCACGTTTTCAGTGGAGCTTGGAGAACTCCAAGATGAACCCAGTTTTTAAATAGTTCCAGAAACCACTGAGAAGCTGAGTAAAAGGACAGGTGCACTTAGAATGCCCCTAAAACCAGTCTTAAAACAAATGCTTTACTATAGGTGACTTTTATTTCAAGAATAGAACAGCCTTTCATCCCAGCTTCCCTGTGAGTTTAGTGTAACCCAGTAGCACAACAGGTAGTCCCCTCCTGTGGGGCAGTACCCCCAAGCAAAGCAAACCCCAAAGGGACACTGCCTCTGGGTTTTCCTCCTCTCCCTCCCTGGAGGAGTAGTCAGCCTAGCACAAAACGTGCAGAGCTCCCTCATCCCCCACCAATGCTTCGGTAGCGGTAAGTACACAAATAAATAACAAGGAGTCAGTATCTTGTGGAGTGGGAGCAGACCGTGACCGCAGATCATCTAGAAATGAAGTTATTGCTACGTTCTTACTTATTGGACACTGCTGGTAGCTCACATGGTAACCACCAAGAGGTGACAGGCTCAAATTGCCCTCATGTTATCAATTCATACTGGACAGAAGGCTGTGGGAGGACAAGACAGATCTTTTTTATTTGCTGCCTGCCTTAAGAGGGAGTTTTCTCAGCGGGACCAAATCTGTCATTTTGACAGAAACAGGCGAGGGGAGGGGATACCACAGGCAGGACCCCAGAACTTCTGAAAAGTCATCATGTCTGCCAGACTTTACCAAGGAGTCCCTGTAGGCTGCAAAGAGTACACCCCACCCAGCATAATCACTGCTCCAGATTAAAAACAGGAGATGCTGAACCACCTTCACATGGTAAAGAACTGCAAGGTCACATTTCAAAGAGCGCAAAAGCCCAATGTCGCCTTGAAAGTCGATTCATCAGGGAAAATCAAGGCCAGTTAGAGCCGTATGAGATGGGCATGGGGAAGCACCAGTCCCACCATAGGCACAGGAGGACAACCCAACACTTGATGCCACCTCCCTCTGCTGGTGGGACACAGTGTGATGCCCAGCAACCCAGTACCAAGACAAGCCAGCTAAAAGAAGGTGTAACATGAAGCCTAATACATTTGAGACCACTTGTCACCAGAGATTATCAGGTAGCTCAAGGCTCATTACAAGCAATGAGCTCACAGCAGTGTCAGTGCCCACATTTCGAGGATGTAGAGGACTGCAGGAAGAACCTCAGGCTGATGGAAAAGCAGAAGTCCTTCACGGGACACCCAGAGATGTCTGTTAGGCGTCATGCAGCTGGTTCTCTTTCAGAAGAATCTTCTCCCCAGGCTTGAAGGCGGGCATGCCCAGGTATGGGCAGCTGGCACAGCGGAACGCATCCCCCAGGTAGCACTGCCAAGAGAAAGAAGAGCAGCCTCTGTCAGCAGGGGCAGCTCGGGACTCTCCCCTGGGACAGCTCCCCAGTTTAACAGATGACATGCTCCTCCACCCATATCGGCACAGAAACCACCTCCCGCTCCGCCCTCTGCACACAGGCCTGGTCAGGGTGCTCAGCGGAGCTGGGCAGGGCACGGTGCTCCCGTGGAAGAAAAGGGTCTTCATCTGGGCCCTGGGCAGCCCCCCAACCACCAGCAGGTGCCCCCGGGCTCCCCTGAGGTGATCCTCCCCGGGCAGGTGAGCAGTTAAGCAGAGGAGCAGGCAGAAGCTGCACGAGCAATGGTTGGGAGCAGGAAGCCAGCTTAGGGAGCCATCACTAGAGAATGCAGTTCTCAATATGACACAAATCATACACTGCAAACAACAAAAAAATGTATACAGAAACAAAAAAAGTGACTGTTTACGTTTCCACAGGCAGATTTGGGCTGCGAGCTCTTCTTCTGTTCCAGCTCTTCAGCCAGGCCACATGTACTGTAGAAAAATAAAGAAGTCAACTGCATCTTTCTGCTTAAAGGTTGTGAGTCACCAACACTTTCTCCAGGCCTTGCTCTGTCACACAACACAGACACAGACAGACCTTCACGCTCCACACTTCGCTCTTCAACACCACGGTTTGTATAGGAAGGGCTGGAACACACTCCTCATGTTTAAACTGAGTGAGAATTGACTCTACACTCATTGTCTACAAATGACAGTCACATGTGCTACTTCTTGAAATCTGAGAAACCTGAGAAGGGTTCAGCCAGGGCTGTACAAATGTCTCCACCTTCAAGGCTGCTGATCGTATCAGTCTGCTAATTTGCAGCAGTTTGATGTGGTGAGTCAATTCTCATTGTATTTGGATTTACATTCAAATAGTTAAGAAGGAACATAAACCAAGAAAATGATGCTTTAAAGAACAGAAAAGTGGCTACAATTAAAAAAAAAAAAAAAAGTTGAAGTATTGGCCCAGGCTGTCCAGGGAGATGGGGGAGTCCCCATCCCTGGAGGGGTTAAAAAAAAAAATAGATGTAATACTTGGGGAAATGGTCTAGTGGTCATAGTAGTGTTGGGTTGATTGACTTGATGATCTTAAGAGGTCTTTTCCAGCCTTAATGATTCTATAGAAATTCCACCCAACTCTACAGGTTCAACGTGACAGTTATAAGGTTCACTGACATGCTAATCACAGCACTGACCAATTTTTGCAGGCTTTCTTTTTGCCAGTTTCTTTGCAGGACAGAGCTCTGAGGGAAGACGGATCTGGCTTCTTCAAATCTTCTGAATCCAACAGCTCATCAGAGTCCAGAATATCCTGAAAACACACCATGGAAGGCAACATGCAGGACACTGATTTTTCAGCAGAGAATGACATTACCATTTTACATTCCAAGAAATGGTGCCATCTGTATCACTAGCATTAAAGTGCTGCAGCTTTGTCCTCTTATCTGCCTCCTCTCTGCCCTCACCACACCACTGGGATCTGAATACTTCACATAGTAGATGATATATTTTACCCTGGGGATGCTTTTTCTACCTGTTAAGTTGTAAAGCTTCTCAAAAGGCACAACTGAAACAAGAGTAGGAAAGAAGGGGAGAGAGAAGGAACAGCTGAATGAAGCCAGATACCATCTCTTCATCATTCATATCATTTGCGGAGAGAGTCCACAGCTTGGCAGTGGCTGGGTCCACTGAGGGTTTTCCTGGAGCCAAAACAAAGGAAGAAACAGTAGTTACTCAAGGCTTTGCCCCACCTACGCCCAACAAGTAAGAGTTCAAACGACTCTGGGAAGACCCACTTCCCACGTTTTTCCTCTAGCACTCCCAACCCTGGAGCTCTCTGCTTGTTCCAAAGGATGGGATGGGATGGGATGGAGAGGCAGGCAATCCAGACGCTCCACACACCACTCCTTACCTGAAACACCAGGTTTCTTTGCAAAGGAAAGTTTGAGCTGACTTGAGGATCCCACTTCGAAATTTGGCTTCCTGCCTTCGATCTGAACAATGAGAAGGTCATTGCCTCGGTAACCCAAATGCTCTTGGACTGACTGGACCTCTTCTGGGGTCAGTGCTTCCTTTTGCAGCTGTAATATAAGACATTGCGTTACCCTCATTGGGCAGAGCCCCTTATTTCAGCATCCAGCCCAGCATGCCAGCGAGGACAATAGGTATTTCCAACACTACAACCCCCACCACCTTTGCAGGAGCTATGGTTTGTGGCAGTCCATACACATTCACAGCAAACCAGGGTAGCTAAACACCCTGTCACCCAACACATCCCGAGGAGCAGCCTCCCATACTTCAAGGTGACTGCCTGGAGGAGTTTCTGGAAGTGGTTGGTACACACATACCTCCTTCACCTCCACCAACCCAGAGAGAGTCAGAGCTAAGGGGAGTTTGGCCGCGGTCTTGATTCTGCTGTTGTTTCCTAGAAGACACAAAAGCAGGAAGTAGGAGGAGGGAGGCACAAGAATAGAAGACACTGAGAAACCTGGAAGAGTAAGAGCTTTAGAAGAAAGTGCTCAAGGCAAACCTCTGCTTTAAAAGTGGGCCTTTCCCAATGGACAGCAAGACTAAACCAGAACGAACACAAGCAGCTTGTTCATGAAAGCAACGGTCTGGGATCACAAAGCCATTCTAGCTCCAGATCTGCTCTATATATGCCACAACCTTCCTCAATCCAGCTAACACCCATTCAAAAAATTAAAAACAAAAAAACAAAGCAAGCTACCCCAAAATTCAAACAATAAAAAACCCCAAAACATTTTCACATACTACAGCTAACAGCTTGTGAACTTTTCAAAACATGGACTCCTAAATTACCATTACATCCAGAAACATAACATTCAAGAGCTTTGTTCTTGTGGGGAGAAGCTACTGCAACCACTGTTGATGCAAAAACTCAAAAACAGGGTTCTTTGCCTGAGAACAGGATTGTGCTGCCCAGTCACCATCTCTCACTATTCTCACTTGCACTTACTTTACTCCATATCCAAATTCCAGCCTGTCAGATGTGACTATGGAAAAAGAAAGCTCATCTACCCCAGACTTTGCACGTACTTTGTTCTTTTCCGGAAGTGTTCCTCCTTGCCCCTAAGGCTCCCCAGAGACACAGTCAGTTTCCAATATGGAAGCAAATTTTCCCAACCTGAAGAAGACATTTCTGCTGCCACTTCCAGCACTGTTTTCAGCGCTGTAGAGTGTGCCAGCAGAAACACCACCAGCACACATACTGCTGCTCTCATCAGGTGGTGTATTATTTCCCAATTCCATACTGGATCAGCTCCCTACGCCAGCAAGGTGTGAATGCAGGTCAAGTACAACAGAGAAATAATCTTATGTTCACCCCCTTGGGTGCTCCTCCAGCTGACCCACAGCAGGTGCTCTGGCTTTACTCTTAAAACTTAGTCTAAACACTTCTACCTTTTCTGGAGAACTCTTTCTCAGCTAGGTTCTGGCACAGACTCTCAGGATTTGTCATTCGTTTTTAAAATCACTTTGGAAGCTCCTCAGAAACCCATCTGCAACTGTTAAACACTGCATGCACTAGGAGAAGACGACCGGTGTCCACCAGTCTTTCAAGGCAGTTTAGGAACAAACATATCCAGCGCTTTTGATAAAAGGAGTTACTGCAAACATCTCTGGCAGCTGCCAGCTGAAACACAGGATAAAAACCTCGATGTTCAGGTCAGTATGTCAGAGTGAGACTCTCCAAACACCAGCCAGAGTTCCTGTCCTTCCTGTTTCAGCCTAAGCCTCACCATAATTTCTGTGCTGCCACGGAAGCAAGGCTGATGCAGATTCTCTCACCTAATTCCGTAACCACAGGTTCTTTCAGGAGGACTCTGCCCCCCGGCTTCAGGATCCGAGCTATTTCTGCCAGCACCTCTGCGCTGTGCAGCACTGTGCTGCCTGGCACCACGCCAGAGAGAATGACATCGAAGCTGGACTCCCTGTGAGCCGCTGGAGAGAAACAGAGAGGACAGAAAAGTTTCACATGGGTACAACACAGCTTTGCTTAACACATCAGTTCTACCTCACACCTCTGGTCTGGTGCCAGTGTACAACAGCAATAATTAACTTGGTGATTAAAGACACCAGTGACAGGCAGCAGGACCAGGGTGAGCTGTGCTGTGAGTGCTGGCAGTGAGCAGTAGGTGCTGCTGCTGTTCCCACAAACCACAGCAGATATCAGCTCACCCCACAGAAGCATCCTCTCCCTCTAAACGAAACGGTGAAAAAACGAAGCTCATTCTTACATTGAGACAGCTGCTTAACATTTTCCACAGAGACACGATGATCAGCTCCTACCAGGGCCTGGATTTTGTCCACCAAATCTTTCAGGGCTTCAACTGGTGAGGAGCTGTCCCAGATGATGGCCACACGCTGGCCAGGCACAACTCCGTACTCGCCCATTCCTACAGCAGCAAAACGGACAGCAGCAGAGAGAGGAACAGGGCAGGGGAGACAGAGGGGAGAGGTAAGTGCCAAGCAGAGCACGAGCTCTGTGCACTCTGACTTAATCATGCAGAGCTGACTCGCTTTAGTAAATGGCAATTATTTTTTAGAGATGGGCAGCACAGAGCTCACATGACATTAAGAAACAGCAACACTTAAGGGCATAATTCAGTTTCTCTCCACTTCAGAGACTAGTTTTGCAGGGAGACTGCAAGCCACGCTTTAAAAAAAAAAAACAAAAAAACAAAAACAAAAGCCACCCCTCACCTGCTTTCCCTAAAGTTTTGACTAGAGATGTGCACAGGACTTCTGGATTTCCAGACAAGTGACAACTATCTGACATTAAATGCTACCTGGTCTCCTCAACTCGAGACATGACCTACCAGAGATTACTTCTGCAGTACATGGGAATAAAAAAAAAAAGTAACTTTCAGCATTCCCAGCATTCCAGATTGGGGCTTTTTCAACTCTTGGCATTGGTGGCACTGAGTAAGCAATGGAGTGGAACAGAATGTGCCGCATAGTGGTAGTTGGAAAAACACGTCTGCAGGAATATATTTATAAAAGAGTGTACTCCTGACAGAGTCAGGAGGCAACCTGCACTACTGAAGTGTCACAGGAGTCTTGTACCATTGTACCATCACCTGTACTCACGGCAGCACCAGCTACTGACACAAGTTACCCACCCTCTTTCACTTTCCTCATCCAACGCAGATCCATTTTCTTGCTAATTGAACACGACTGCTCACAGCAGAGAGGTCCACTGAGCACACTAGTCACCCTGAGTATTCCCAGCTAGCTGCAAGCCACACACGTGCTTCAGGAGAGCCTGCTGTAAGCCAGGTCTTTCCCAGAACTCACTACATCATACATTGCAGGTGATGCCCGATTGCCACCACATTCTCCTGAAAGCCCAGCTTATGAATACGCTGCTCCGAATTTAACTTGGCTGCCTGCAGCCAGGAGTGGAGTGGATTTTTACCCACTGTTCCTCTGGCCACGAACCCTCCTCTGCTGGGAACTGCCAATAAGTTCAGAACAGGCCAGTCCAGAGCCTTGTCACATCTACTGTAGTAGGAATTTAGGCTAAAGCAGCCCACATGGCCAGACAGGTAAGGAGTGGAAGATCCTGGGTGTACCCTACAGGCCATGGTGCCTTCTAGTCGGCCTTGCATGCATACACAACACAAGCTAAGCAACTGTAACAGATAGTAACACTGGTAAAGACATGTATTGATCCCATTAAAAAGCCACCTTTCCCAGAAAGAAGGCAAAAAACCCTCAAAACATACATAAGCTGTTAGGCTAATGTGAAAAAAAAAAAAACAAAAAAACAAACCACAAAATCACACCTGCTTCTCAGAACAGCAGGTTGTGACCTTTCAAAACCAACATGAGCCGAAAATACACCCACAGCAAGACCAACTGGCATCGATCCCCTGAGATGCGATCTAAAGGGAGCTGGAAGCTACAGGAGCCCTCAAGGACTCGGCACCACGTCTCCCTTCAGCCAGAGTAAAGGCCGGGAGGCTGCTCCCATCAAAGCACGCACACGTTCTTGATGGGAAAACGAAGTGGGTATTTTCCCCCTCCTCTTAAGTTTTCTGTTGGCAGGTGGAATACATTTAAAACAGAAGATTTTGTGTGCCAGCCGTCTTCCTTTTAGGCAGCTCCAGGCTACACCGGTGGCTTGCCGGGGCTCGGTGAGCACAGGGAACGGAACCTCTTCCCCACCACACCGGGAGCACTCCCGGAACAGGCCAGGGCTGGACCAGGGCTGGGCTTATCTTCATCTCTCACGCGTTTAACAGCCCTTGAGGAACATGACCGCCCAAAAACGATCCAGGAAGAGGCCTCAAACACTACCGGAGGTTTCCAGGTTAGATAAATTAAAAAGATCCCGATGAGAGCAGCGACCGCACCGGCCCTGGAGGGGGGGAGAGATTCGAACACATCCCCCGGCACAGACGGGGCAGAACGAACCCACTCGTAAAGCCCCGGGCCGGGAACGGGGAGCGGGAGACGTGAAGGGATTTCAGCCGCGAACGCGGGAACCCTCCAACCCCGCGACGACCGCCTCAGAGGAGGCCGCGGCTAAGTTTTTCG